GTTCTGCTGTGCATGGGGTCGCTATGAGTCGGAAATGGCTCGAGGGCACTTAACAACAACAACAACAAAGTCTTCTTAAAACCAAAAAATAGTTTAGCTTAACTAATAAAGAATATCTGGTTTGAATATTGTGGTATTTTAAGAATTATCTGTATGCAATCAAACTGAAATAAACTTGAAAAATTAGATAGGAAACCTGGTGGCAGTGAGTATATGTTATTAGGGGAGGAAAATTTAGAAAAGGAGTATGAGAATGGTTGCACACCTTGAAGAATGTAATCAATGTCGCTGAATTGTATAAGTAAAAACTGTTGGTATATGTTCTGCTGTGTTTATTCTGAATAACAAGAAAAAATAAAATTTTAAAATTAGTATTATGAAAAATTTAAAACATATTCTAAAAGTAGATATAATATTATAATGAACTCCATGTACTGCTACCCATCTTCAAAAATAATAAACACTGCCATTTCTGTTTAATCTGTTCCCTCCACAGGCTTTTGACTTGAAAATTTTAAAGCAAATCTCAGACACTGTCACTTAGAACTATAAATATGTCAGTATATATGAAGACATTTAAAAATCATAGCCATGATTCCATTAACTCCCTGACTAATTAACAATAAGTAGTTAATATCATCTTATATACAGAACATATTAAAATTCCCCCAATTGTCATACAAGATCTTTATAAATGTTTGTTGAATAAATAGATGGGGAATACCAGTATCAAACAGTATACTTTCCAAAGTATTTAAATATAATCTGTCTTATTACAAATATTAGTATAATTTGTCAGGAGAGCTTTGTTTTTCAAATTTTAAAAGGTGGAGAGTTGGTTCAGCTAGTACTGTTCCAGTCATGCAGATGAAAACCAAGGGTAAAACTCCATAATGGATATTTACTCAAGAGAAATGAAGATGTCTGTGCACAAGTCCCCATAGAAAAATTTTCAAAGCAAATTTATTCATAATAACCAAGCACTGGAAACAATCCATCAACAGATGAATGGATAAACAAATTGTTATGTAGATAAACAATGAAATACTATTCAGAAATTAAAGAAATGAAATAGTTATATAAAGGTGGATGAATCTCAAAAACCTAATGTTGAATGAGAAGCCAGGCACATAAGAGAACATAGTGTATTATTCCATTTATATAAAATTCTAGAGCTCTCAAAACTAATCTGTGGTGGAAACAATCAGAATAGTGTTTGCCTTTGGTGGTTCAGGATTTACTGGGAAGACGTATGAAAGAACTTTCTCAAGTAATGGTAATATACATAGGGGTTTTGGTTACACAGGTATGTATATTTGTCAAAAATCATTAAATGGTACACTTAAGATTTTTGCATATTTTTATAGGTAAATTTTATTCCCTTAAAAACTAAGGATGATAAAAGTCTTGAAATCTCCATATGCATGCTGAAGTATTTGTTGTTGTTGTGTTGTTGTGTGCTGTCGAGTCGCCCCCGACTCATAGCGACCCCTCCTTGGGTTTCCGAGGCAGTATCACTACGGAAGTAGGATTGCCCAACCTTCCTTCCGAGGAGCGGCTGAAGTATTTAGGAGGATATATATTGTTGTTTAGGAGCCCTGATGGCATAGTGGTTAAATGTTCAGCTACTGACCAAAAGGTCAACTCTTGGAACTCACCAGCCACTCTGTGGAAGAAACATGTGGCAGGCTGCTTCTGTAAAGATTTACAGCCTTGGAAACCCTATGGCTTAGCTCTACTCTGTCCTATAGGGTTGCTATGAGTCAGAATTGACTTGGCAGTCGGAGAGGTTTTGGTTTTGGCATACTGTTGTTTGTAACTTACTTTGAAATGCATCAAAAAATAAGATGGCTTGATGGATGATGCATACAGGGATGGACATATGAACAGATACGTATGATAGGAGGGTGGTTTGCCTTTACTATTTTGATCCAGGATGCCTAAACTGAGGCCTTGGGCTCAGAGCATTCTCTGATAGGGAGGCTGGGAATTGGGTCTCTCTCTTTCTTCAGTTCCCTCTGCTTTTCAGAGAAAGCTTTCTGCCTATTCTGAAGCCACAGTATCTTTCTCTGTCTCAATGACTACTTTGACTACTTGATTGTACTAAAGTAACTAATCTTATAGCTAGTGGGGGAAGAAATGTTCTTTCTGGTCATGCACCCATGGTCACAGCACTTCCATGCTATCTGAAATTGAAAAAAGCTTGGCCACAGAATGGTCAGGCCAGGTGTAGCTGAACAATGACCCCTTCCTCTTACTTCCCTTCCCTTCCATGCACTTCGTTTGAAGTATAAGATCCCTCCACCCTTTTGCCTTGTGTTCTTTTTCCTGTAACATAAACTGGGAGCCAACATTGTACAGAAGAGATTTCCTGCATTAACTCACCCTACGACAGAGTTCTGAGGGAGAACACCCTAAGATGAACCTTACCCCATTCATCTGTGTGCTAACTACTACGTAAGTAAATAAAAACTTATAAAATGCCACTGGGTAATGTCACTTAATTACTGAGAGCTACAGCTGTCTATGAGCCCATTTTTCATTGTGGCTTCTCTCAATGTGATAAAGCAATATAGTAAAATATTAATGGTAGACTATAGTAGCAGTTATACACATGTTCACTACGTGTATACGCATGTTCGGTTTCAACTTGGATATATGTTTGAAAAATTTTTGTAATAAAATGTTGAGGAAAAACTTCATGGTGCTTTGCAGAAGACAGAAGAAAAGGGGCTAGCATGAGAACATATATGACTTAGCCATCGTGACATTCCTGCTGAGTTGACTCTCCTTTTCTAGCTGACCTCGGATGAACTGACCTCCACTCCCGGTTCTTGTGTAAACTGGTAGCTTCTTGGCCATATCAAAAAGCATCTGCTTCTGGACCTCAGGTCTCTCTTCATTTTCATATCGTTCCTTGTCTGTATATGACAAGTGAAACTGGAAGCAGAAGTGATAGACAAAACTTTATTTTGCAAGGGTTACATACAAAAATAATAACAGTAACAATAACAGCAAGAAGAAATATTTAAATAGAAATAGTAATTACCTAACCTTGAAGCCCAGGTACCAATTCTGGCTTATTATTTTCTCTGACTAATTATCTCAGTCCCCATAACTCTATGAGATTGGTAGTAGTATCACTATTTCATAAAAACAGGAAAATAACACTTAGAGAGTTTAAGTACCTTGTCAAAAGTTGTACTCACTCATCTAGTAAGTACCAGAGGTAGTCTCCAATCCCAGTTCATCTAACTCTAATTCATGTGCCCTTCCCTCTCCCTTACAACATAATATGATGTCACATACACCTTGTTTCTAGGACACTGTAGGAGCTCTGGTGGCATAGTGCCTAAGGCATTTGACTGCTAAGCAGAAGGTTGGAGGCTGAAACCAACCAGCCACTCCTTGGAAAGAAGATTGGGCAATCTACTTCCATAGCAATACTGCCTCAGAAACCCAAGGAGGGGTCACTATGAATTGGATCCGACTCCATGGCAGTAAGTTTGGTTTGTTTTTGGTTTGTAGATGATTAACCATGTTTTATTATTGAATGGTGTGTATGGTTCACAAGTGATACTGATGACACTCTTGGAGAAGCTAGATGTGACTACTTGTGACATTCTCTGCATATTCTAATCTACCAAATGAGTAGAAATTTAGATATAATCACCATGTCAATAATTTTAGTTTGGTATGGAGCTTGTGTAGTGGTTAAGGCATTTGGCTGCTAACCAAAACATCAGTGGTTCGATTTCTGCAGCCACTCTGCAGAAGAAAGATGAGGCAGTCAGCTTCCATAAAGATTTATAGCCTTGTATACACAATGGGGGTCACTATGAGGCAGTCAACTCGATGGCTGTGAGTTTGGTTTGGTTTTGGATGGAGTTTGTTGCCACACGTTACTAATCTTGCAAAAGATAGGCCAACAGTTTTCCATAGTAATGCAGATTTGAAAGCTTTCTTCTGTCTGGGCAGAGTGGTAGTCAGACGTGAAAAGTAGATGTATATTTAAAATTTCAAGGTTTAAACCTCATTTCTGACACATAATGATTAGAAAATCACTTTGTGAAAGTCACTTTGGAAAAATTACTTAGACACTCTGAACCTACTTTCTTCACCTGTAAAATAGGGGGCATAATATCTACTTCACAATATTAGTGCGTGTGGTAGTTAAAGTTGTGTGTCAACTTGGTTGGACCTGGCTGCATGGCTGGGCAGCAGGTGGTAGTTATTCCCTATGATGAGACTGGCAATCACCTCCACGGTGGGCTCTACCACAAGCAGCTGAGTAGCTGCTTTGGGTATGTGGTCTGCTATCCATATATAAGCAGCAGCTTTGGGAACGGTCTCTAGTTTATGGCATGCTTGAACCCTGCATGTAGCTGTGCCATTATTCAACAGCCTGCCATGCTCTGCTGACCTTGGGACTTACAGTGGGCTTGCATTAATAGCCTGCCATGTGGTTTGGTAACATCAGGACTGTGCCACTTTGTTGACCTTGGGCTTGTTAGCCTTAGCAGTCAGTAGCTGCCTGAGTGAAGGGATGCCTCTAGCTTCAGTGGGCTGGGAGCAGGAGGCAGAGCTGAAGCCCAAGGTTGAGAGGCTTTCTCCCAGGTCCGAGAGCCTGGCACTTTGAACTCGGATTTCTAGCCTCCCAAACTGTAAGAGAATAAACTCCTGTTTGTTCAAGCCATCCCATTTGTGGTATACTCTCATCAGAGCGGCACTAGGTAACCAGCACAGTACAAAAGAACAAGCTAATAACAAGCAATTAAAAATTTCGTTTAGATATACTATTTATTGATCATTAAAAAAATCTGATATTGCCCATCTTTTTCATTTTAAATAGTCTGGTGGGTGTATAGTGATATCTTATTGTTATTTCAATTTGCAGTCCTCTGATTACTAATGATATTGAGCTAATGATATTTCATGTGTTTATTAACCATGTGGATATCCTCCTGTGAAATACCTATTTAAGTCTTATTTTCATTAAAAAAGAACCTAAATAAATAGAAAGCCATCCAATGTTCATAGATGGGGAAACATAATATTAAGGTGGCAGCACTAACCCAAACAGTCTAGGATTCAATGCAATTGTTATAACAACCCAACAGCCTTTTCTGCAAAAATGGAAAAGATGATTCTCAAATTCATATGAAATTGCAAGATAAAAATTTTAATTGTAATTAATGTCACTGAATTCTACACTTACAATTGTTATAATGGAATGCATGAACAATAGAAGACAGATGAGATAACTGGGACCTCCTAAAAATTAAATACTTATTATGGTCATCAAGAGAGTTTATCAAAAGAGTAAAAAGAGAACTTACAGACTGAGAAAAACATCTTTGGGAATGACATATCTGACAAGAGTCTAATCTTTAAAATATATAGAAAACTTCAACAACTGAACAACAAAAAGACAAAAAATGCAATTGAAAAATGGGCAGAAGACATGAACAGCCAGTTTAGCAAACAGGACATTCAAGTGGCCAGCAAACACATGAAAAGATGCTTATGATAATTAACCTTGAGAGTGATGCAATTCAAAGCTACAATGAGATACCATCTCAACCCTGCAAAAAAACAGTACTGATTTAAGAAAAGAAAAATGATAGCAAGGTTGTGAGGAGATTGGAATCCTTATCTACTTCTGGTTGTTGTTGTTGTTATGTGCCGTCAAGTCGGACCTGACTTATAGTGACCCCTCCTTGGGTTTCTGAGGAGGTATCACTATAGAAGTAGATGGCCTAACCTTCCTTCCGAGGAGTGGCTGGTGGGTTTGAACCACCAGCCTTCTGGTTAGCAGTCAAGTGCCTTAGGCACTACACTACCAGAGTTCCTATCCACTGCTGGTAGGATTGGAAAATGATACAGCCACTATGGAAAACAGTACAAAGCTTCCTCAAAAAAGCAACTAATAGAAATGCCTTATAATCCAGCAACCTCACTACTGGTATATACCACAGAAATCTGATGTCAGTGATACAAATAGACATATGCATACCTATGTTCATTGCAGCATTATTCACAATAGCAAAAAGATGGATAAAACCTAAGTGCTCATCAACAGATGAATGGATAAACAAAATGATATATATACATACAATGGAATACTATGCTGCTATAAAAAATAATGATGGCTTTTTGAAACATCTTATAATGTGGATGAATCTGGAGGACATTATGCTGAGTGAAATAATTTAATCAGAAAAGGACAAATATAGTATGATCCCACTTTTATGAAAAGACAAACACTGATGTCTTAATTGCCTGGTGGCACAGGGATTAAGTGCTAACCAAAAGGTTGGCAGTTTGATCTTACTAGCCCCTTTGTAGGAGAAAGATGTGGCAATCTGATTCTGTAAAGATTTACAGCCTTGGGGTCGTTTTATTCTGTCCTACAGGGTTGCTATAGGGTCACTATGAATTAGAATCAGCTCAGTGGCAGTGGATTTTTTTTGGTTTGCTACTTTAT